CAATTAATCTTCAGGAAGCTTCTGTCAAGAGGGGTCAATCACACCTGTTGCTCAGTTGACAGGTTTCATTAACAACAGACATTTTTGGCTCTGCAAAAATGGGAAATATAGGAAATGAATGGAATACAAAAACAGTTGATCACTTTCGTTGATCTGAGAGAGTGCACAAAATGTGCCTCTTGAATGACTAACTTTGGGAGAGGGTTTTCCCTTTCCAGGATAACAGTATTGATATTCATTGTCAATCTGGCGTTGGTTAAGGTAGTATCAGAATAAATGTATCATACTCTAAACAAGAAGTCTATTCACCTAACTACCCTGGCTATAAGAACAAAACCTTCTTGTTGGAAAGTTATTCTAGAGAGTTTATGTGCATAAGATTAATCGCATTCTGACAAGAGATGTTTCCTCATAACCAAAAGTGTCTTTTGTTAAAGCTCTCAAGAAAATAGGATAACAATGCTTTAGAACATTTTCACTTCATGAGAATCTCAAACCACTTATGCAAAGTATTTTTTGGGCACATTATAAAACAAAATGAAATCCAGCATGGACATAACTCTATGTGGGAGCCCTGGTTTCATTCCAGTTGTTTCTGTTCTTCATGCAATCCTCCAGAGTTCAATTGAAGAAGTAGACCTTTCTTCAATTCTTAGAAAGGTCTACTTGAAGCATAAAAAAAGAAATGCAATGCTCACCTGACATGCATTCTACAGTGTCTGTTTCTCTTGATGTGAAGCTTTTTTTAATTTTCATTTTCATCAGTTCTATTTCTATATTAGACTGTAAAAACAATCTGGGTGCATAAAAGAAACAGCAAACATTAATTCTCAATATAGTTGATAGTCTTGAATTTTTATTACATTCAATGTTCTATTGCCCATGGGGTTCACAGAACAGATTAAATGCTTTTCCATTGAAGTCTCAGGGAACATTAAATGTGGCCACCAAACTTTTGGCTTACAAAATTTTGTCTAGGACCAATCAAGTTTGTTAAACAAGGTTTTCCGTGAGTATTTAGAATCCTATGCTGGAGTCAGTCTGCTTATATCTGGTTTATTCTGGGAGTAGTTAACTTACAACAGATCTTGAATTTTTTTTAATTAGTCATGCTCATTTTTCGTCAGTATTTTGAAAATTGTGCCTTGTGACCGCCAGACTCTCGGCCAACTGAATAGAACTTCGATCGATCCAAAGTAGAGTTCTCTCTCTACGTCCTTTCCAAGTAAAAGCTTCAGCGTTTCTCCTTGTTCCGCGTAGGTGTCGCGCGACGTTCAAAAAATGCCCCAAATACCCCGACGTGCATGCATACACACGGATACACGTGGGCATAGAACGCTGGCCTCGCGCGCAGCTCAGCAGACAGGCAGCAGCAGTTGAGGGGCTTCATGCTTTGCAGCAGCTTTGCAAGCAAGCAAGAAAGCAGGATCCAGGACCCGTCGCATTCTATTCCAACACGTGCGCCTCGTGATCCAACAGGAACGTGTTTCAACTCATCCATGCACTGTTCCTCTCGGAAACGTGGTCTCACTCCAAATATAAAGCCTGCTGCTGCATGTCTCCACGTGATCGCGTCTCTGCTGCTGATGATGATGATGTGGAATCCCGCGAACTTTCACGGTTCCTGTCACACAAGATTCTCAGACGCCTGCAATATTACTGCTGGGAAGCATCAGAGATTCGCGAGAAAACATTTTTTTTTTCAAGTGAAATGTAGGAAGGGGATTTTTGCTCCCGTTGTTCTGTACTGTATACCGTATATAAATATAGAAAACCGAGAATAAACTCTGACGAAACGAACTTCTGGGACCGCTCAGCAAAAAAAAAAAAAAAAACATAGGCCGCGTTAAAGTTCTATTCAGTTGGCCGAGAGTCTGGCGGTCACAAGGCACAATTTTCAAAATACTGACGAAAAATGAGCATGACTAATTAAAAAAAAACATAGGCCGCGTTATTATTGGAAGCATGATGACTAAGAGGTGTCCACAACCCGAGTCACGCTTTGCACAACCACGTGATTCGAAATTTCTACATCCTTCCAAGATTGAGAAATGCGTCAAAATATCCGAAATCTGCACCATCACTGAATTGCGTAGACTGCCTTGGCTCCTTTGATGCAATTCACTTTCCTGGAAACAGTTACATATATTGACGAGATAAAAAGCTTACTGATATGGGGAATGTGCTGGGGAACCCATCAGCTCCTATAGCTGTTGTGGATTATAAATGTGGTTTCTTTGAAAATGAAATTGAATGCTGATAAACCCCAACTTTCCATGGTATCCATGCTGTGTTTCCTGGAAAATAAACCCAGCAGGCATGCTGGGGGAACTTTCACATCCTCTTGTGGAAACACTGTACAAGTGTACAGTATACTTTGGCTGTGGAAATAAACCTTGTGGCCCAATTATGACATTTTGAAGATGACTCCTGATTGGAAACTTGGCCTAAAACATTAAACTTATGTAACCATGGAGGGAGCTATTCTTTATGCAATTACACACCAGCTGGTGCATGTGAGATACTCTGGACTTACACATGGTTCAAATATAATTTTGCTAATCTGCCTGGGTTACATAATGTGTACTAGCTGTTTATGTACATCTGCAGTTACAAACACATGACTATATACAGCACTTGTACCCCAAGTGTAAGGACAAAAGTATAGTGCACACTTGGGATACACATCAAATAAGAAACTTGGGTGTACTGTATACTTCAAGTGCCCAGCAGGGTTTCTTTTTCAATTACATGTGTGGTCAATATGTGTGCACCAATTTCCCTACTTGGGTACTCACAAGTCAATATTGGGAATGTTGAAAAAGGCCGGGAATAACATGCATATTTGTATTCCAAAATAATGTGATTTTCACAAATGATCAGCAATGGATCATACACATAGAAAATACAGTACTATATAAAAATACGAATTGAATGTCAGGTCATTCAGAAAGGTGGTGAACTTGATTCTAGAGGAAGCTGCACTTCAGTGAACAAAGAGCAGCCCATGGTCTGAATTGCCAACTACAGTACCGCTCACCAGCATATAGTTGGAGGCACCCAAATCATCATCATCCTCATCACATGGAAAGAGCGCAGTTGCAGCGGTATATACTGATTCATCCCCGAAAATTATGTAACCTTCGTGGTATAATGAGACCAAGCAGGTATTTTTTTCTGCCAGAAATGGCAACACCAGCACAGTGAAGGTCATGCGTCTGCTGTCCAAATCACCCACCCCGTGACGCATGGATTACTCGCGCTGGCCGGCATTCCCAGCATGCAGGCAGTCAACCGAACAACCACCCACCCACCGAACCGTACAAGCAGAAAAAGGAACTGCTTCGGAGTTAGTCACCGTTTTTCCCAGTGCTGCGTGAGTGGATCCTGGTTCCTTCCTAGGAACTCATCGCTTTCATCTGGCGGGTGATGGAGAAAAGAGTTGGATGGAGGTCCTCTCGTGTGTGTGTGTGTGTTTGCGTGGGGAACCTCCGCAATGTCCTTCCAGAGAAGTCGTTTCTCCTTACAAGGCAAGCTTCGGCGCGGGAGGATCAGAGATTCGACAGGAAAATTTTCTCCGCCCACTCGTCCGCCCTTACGATTATTCCTCGTCCTAACTCCCTCACGTCGCTGTAATCCATCCATCTGTCTGCGCCTCCGTTATTACGTTGAACCCAGCATCAGTTGGACTGCTGGACGAACAGAGCATTCGCGAGATTTAGTCAGGTAGTTGTGACTCGGAATTGGGATATCCCCCCCGAAGGTGGGGAAATCGTCGACGTTGTTCCGGGAAACCCCTCGGGTCGTCGCGGGTTCCAGCGAATACCGCTTTTGAACGTTGGGGTGAGTGTGGGTGTGTGTGTGTGTGTGAACACTAGTGATGACTTACTGCAGAGTGCGCAACCCGTGAGTTGAAAAGCGCGGCTGCCGACGCTGACGATCGTCACTCACTCCTGGCTCTTCGGTCGGAATGGGAAGGAGTGTCGGAAGTATAGTGTGTGTAAGGGAATGTCGTGCCGAATGGTATACCCAGCATGCATTGCGAAGAAGCCGTGATCAGTGTTGAGGAGCTAGGTTTAATCATTGTTGTCTATCACCTCTACGCGTATCTCATGATCCCCTAATCATCGTGGAGACGCGATATCTGAACCTCACGCGGAGCTCCGAGAGCGATTCGCGTGTGTTCGTGTGCCGTGAAATACTGTAGTGATGAAAGTCGACCCCGGATCGTCCGTCACACTTGGTCCCGCATTGGCCGTCGCTCATGTGGTTCATTATCGAAAGGGATTGAATTCTAGTGCAGTTGGTGATGGGTATTCCGTGTGAAGGAATGCGCGGAAAGTTACTAGTAGACGGAGATTATAAGAACACCGCTGGGAAGCCGAGTATACGAGTGAGGGTTAAAGTATGACGAAGAATATCCTGGTGAAAAGCGCCTTGTGTAGTTGTAATGTAAATCCAGAACGACCGCACGAAAATGAACGCATGTCCGATTTCGAAATTTCTAATTCTATTATTTTGAGATAAGAATATTCCGCGAAAACAACTCTTCCCAATGTTCAAGTTTTCAGGCCTAAAATGAAATAGTAACGCTTTAGTGTACCTTATTTCAAGGGTAATTCAAGTTCAGAGGAATAAACCAAGTACAGTATTGTACGAGTAATCCAATTGTAATTCTGACTAATAAGACACTTGACAACCCAAGTGTGAACACACAACTGGTGCACGTTTGGGATGCACATGAGTAAAAGAGGAAACTGGTGTACTTCAGGTGTAAAGCAGGGTTTCCTGGGTGGTGGACTGGTGGTTACATGTGTATCTCAAGTGAGCATCAATTTTCCCCGTTGAGCTTTTGGTGCATATGGTCTGCAGTTGACTCGTTAATATCACTCAAGTGATGGTACCTGATTGGTTAGAATTAGGAGTTTTACATACACATTATGGTCAAATCAGGGCTCTTGGTGTACCCTGTGAGGGCATGGTCTCTATGTAATTGCATTGTTACAATGACCATTACTCTTCCCTGAAATTTGTCTCCTTGCCCTCCACCCATCCATCTTTTGTCATCCACCTCCTGTGGTGTTCTGGTTATTAGTGAGAATTCCTCTGACCAGTCTTCTGCATACTGGAAACACCCTATCATCCATTCTTTAATGGTTAACTGTTCAGAGAGATCCAGGTGTCACCAAACAGGCTTACCCATGTTTAATGAGACAATGTGCCATGGAAGATATATTTGATAATAATTTCTGCTTTGTGAGGAAATTGAATTGGCGAGTTGAGTTATGTTATGTAGATTCTTAATTTATTTATGCTTACTGCTGCATTGTGTTGACCTACATGGTCATTGCTTAAACCAGTTGCTGTCTACTTGTACCCTAGTTAGTTGATCTTCATTTCAATATCATGATATTGAAAATTGTTTGCCAACTAGTATTTTTATAATGAGCTTGCTAGTTGCATGAACAGAGATGGACCGAAAACTCTCGAACCGTTTCAATCGTAATGATTTGATTTTTTTTTACCCGAAAGATATTTTTCAGCCAAAGTGAAACAAACAATCTTTTCTATGGAGTTTCTTCAGGTTTTTATATTGATCATAACAATACAGTAAGAGTCATGAGATTAAATGTCAAAGGACTAAAGATAATCGTACAAACGTCACTACTGTATCACCCTTTTTGGCATTATTCCAATGCCAAATAAAGAAATGACTGTGTATTTTCAAGATTAAAGGTTCATTTGCCATGTTTGAGAATAACAATATAGATCTGACATCAGTAGAACCAAGTACTGTATTCTATTGATGTGGTCCTCTTAAGACTTGCCATGCTGCTGTGGGCCCATAGCCACTCCTAAGCTGGGTACCACAATTCCATATATCCATGAATTTTCATGGAATGAGCATAAAGAATATTTTTTTCCGGAGCTTGGGGGCTGTATTGCACTCATTTTCCACATCTCCAGTCAATGTCAATGTCCGGATGTTGAGACTCTTTTGGGGGATTTTAAATGTCCCCCAAGTGGAATTGCGGGCATGTGTGGGGTGGGTTCGTTCCCACTGTACGCTGCTCTTAGATGGGAACATTTCATCACTGGCCTGAGACTCCTGCTCATGCTTACAAACGCTGGCATGTCCCAGCGCTGGCTGGCTGGCTGGCTGGCTACCCGCCAAATCAATAACTTACAATGTAATCATCTGACGCCCATAATGAATAGAATCAAACTTTTGCCAAATGCAAAAATACATCGACTGGCCAAATTTGAGACTGATCGGAAAATTTGAAAGATGAGAAACTGGGGCCAGACGGTGGCGCTGAATTGTCGGGGATGGCGCGCGCAAGGAAGGGGGCCGCCTCCCTCCCCGGTCGAAAAACGGGACAGTTGGCGCGCGGGCTTTCCCCCCTCCCGAAAAGAAGTGCGGGCTTGCACCACGTCATTGGGGTTTTCACGTGGGCTGAGTGCGAGTCCCTGTCTCACGATCCATCCCTCTCGTTTCTTCCCCGTAGGGAGTTATACGCGCTAGTGAGTTGGCTCCACGTCCCAGTTCGCTCGTTGCCAGCGTACGGAGAAGTTGTCGAAGCGATAGTCCGTGCTGTGCTGTGACTGTTTGTGGTTATACGCGGGAAAGGAGACGACACTTGTGAAAATTTGTTCGGGGATCATCGCGACGATGCTGCCCCGTAGTGTGACAAACTATCCGGCTTCGGTCGAGGTCAATACGAAGATGGACGTCTGCCGTGACAAGCCAGGTGTGTAGGCTGAAGGAAGAAGAGTGTAGTAACTTGCGTGCTCATGTGTGGTGTTTGGATTTGTCTTCCGTGGTTTTTGTAGTGACTGCGTCAGCGAGACGCGAAGTTCCTCCGCCGACTCCCGACACCCTGAGCAATTCGTACAGCGTCGGAACCAAGTTGGGCGCTGGTGGGTTCGGTATCGTGTATGCCGGGACTCGCGTCAGTGACGGACATCCGGTCGCCATTAAGCACATCGCGAAGCGGAAGGTGACTGACTGGGGTCGCACGGAAACCGGACGCCTCGTGCCGTTGGAGATCTGCTTATTGCGCGCCGTGTCGCAAATCCCCGGCGCCATCGAAGTGCTGGACTTCGTCGAGCAGAGTGACAGCTGGATGATCGTGCTGGAGCGTCCGAGTCCATCGCAGGACCTTTTCGACTTCATCTCGGAGAAGGGCGCCCTGGACGAGGCTCTCGCGCGTCACTTTTTTAAGCAGGTCGTGGACACTGTGATTGCGTGTCGCGACGTGGGCGTCATTCATCGTGACATTAAAGACGAGAACCTGTTGGTGGATCTCAATTCCATGCAGCTCAAGCTCATCGACTTCGGGTCCGGCGCCTACTGGCGTGACACCCCCTACACCGACTTCGACGGTGAGTGTCTGACTTGTGATTGAACTTTTATCTTTGGGAGTATTGCTATTAGTTCCGTCTCGTGAATCGACCATTGTTCGCCGGAAAGAAATTGTGTTGCAATATTTGTGGATGAGCTGAACAAAAGGAAATTGCGACATGACACGAAAATTTTTAAATGAGATTTTTGCCAACCTTGGGTTGAAAATTCGGAAAGAATTGCTTGTTTTATCTCTGATGGAACGTCGATCAGGGAAGAAAAGTTGGAAATGTTAGAGTCTGGACGTACGTTTTTCCTAAATATTCGTCGATTTTGCAGCGTACTTGATTCTTCGGTAGAAGTTAACGTGATCATAGTTGCTCGAGCTTCAGTCCACGAAACAGCAATTTCAATGGAGCTCACGGTGACATGAAGACTTGGTACTGTACCTCGTCCTGTGCTTCTGAAAAATTTAATTTTAAAATTATCGAAGAACTCCCAACAGTGATGCGTATGTCGTGAAATGTCATTTACGGGGAATGATGCTTTTCTATGAATTGTTCGTCACGTTTCTTCATATCACAGAAACCACACCCCTTCCCCCATCTAAGAAGTCGGAAAAGAAATAATACTTTTTTTTTACTGGACAAAACCTTCGTATTACACAAGCGAAGGTGCCGAACTTGGTCGAATACCCGAGAACACGATTTTAAGTTGACCTTCGTTATGTAATATATTTTTATGCGAGGTTAATTTCTTCACAGATGCTTTTAGTTTGACCGCTTGTTCTGGTACTCTACAGTATTACAGTATGAGACCTGATATATTTATTTTGTGAATTGAATTTCAAAATCAGTACCCTGACTGTTAACGATACGAGGGAATGATCATTCTCGAGTGTTACGTTTTATGACTTGTCTGAACATTATCCGTTGACACTCGTGTGTTTCTATGTGCCCTCATTTTAATTTTTCGTTCCTTTTCTTTTGTGACTGTTTGCAGGCACCAGAGTTTACAGCCCCCCTGAGTGGATCAGCTCCTCACGCTACTACGGGGACTGCGCCACCGTGTGGTCTCTTGGTATCTTGCTGTACGACATGGTGTGTGGCGATATTCCGTTTGAGAAGGACAATGAGATCTTGAACGCGCAAGTCTCGTTTCGCACTGCTCTTTCAGCTGGTGAGTTTCGCTTTGCTCAAGCGAATGAAAATGAATGAATGAATCTGAACAACGTGAATTCATGTTTTTTTTCCTCCTCTTTCTCGTTTTTTGTCGATGCAGAGTGCAAGGACTTGATCAGACGGTGTCTGTGCATCCTGCCTCGTGACAGGATGACGTTGGAGGAGATGCTGACGCACCCGTGGATGGCGGCACTCGTGGACGGTCGTGGAGCGCCGTCGACGTCGTCCATGTCGTGGTCTTCGTACGACTCGGCGTCGGTTTGATGACGACGCCTCGTTTAGGACGGATTATTTTTCTTTTGCCCCACGGGACTCGTGTGTTTGTGTCGTGCGTGAGAGTGAATGTGGCCGTGGCGCGGTTTATTATCCCGGAGTATTATCCCGCGCGTTAGTTGGCGGTTGTGACGATATTGTACGTCGTGTTTGATGTCGTGTCGAAGGATAGGTGGACAATTCTGTCGCGTTTCTAGCCGGGGAACCGGGGCTCTCTCCCTCTCGCGCTCTTTTTTTTTTTGCGAAAAGGAAAAAGAAAAGGTGGGGGTGGGGGGTGAGTCCCCCTTTGTAAAGCCGCGTTTCCTGCCCTTATTTCCGTTCATCCTTCTCTTGCTCTGGTCTGTGTGTTTCTTCATCGCCTCTCCTCTTTTCTCTATGCAGTATATATATATATATTTATAAATATATATATATATATATGTGCTCGTGTGCTGTTGTGCTGGCAGCGGTGGTCGAGACTCGGGAGTCGCGTCCCTTTAGTAAAGTATGCTGCCGTGGGGCGCCCTTGTGCTGCCACTACCACCATCATTGTTGTCGTGCTGGCACTAGTGGCACCGCCGCGGGGCGTTTACTGTGATTCAAAAAGCGGCTCCCGTGATCAGGGGCCTCCGCTCTGTCGACAACCGGTGAAGCCTCCACTCACTGGTGGTGTTTTTTTTTTGAAACATTTTTTTTTGGCGTAGAAAATTACGTCTTTTAGGGGGTTGGAGGGGGGAAAATGTCACGCATCACGCTTGTGACCTTCAACGTGTTTTTTCTCACAATCGAACATGAAGCGGAGTTTTTTTTTTGTGAAGGTTAAAGACAAAAAAAAGAAAACTTGCCGAACTGCTTGAGCTTTAATCCGGGCGGGACGAATGCTGTTCAAGTCATCAAGAATGCATCCAATGGTATCTTTAATCCAAGATGAACGAGGGGGACTCTTCTATTTTTTAAATTCGCGACATTGGTGACGTTAACACTTTTTTTGACATCAAATGAAGGAACGAATGGCTAGTTGACTCCGTGTAAACTGCGTTTGAGACCCGTCTTCAATTGTGTAATTAATACAAGCTATGCGTATTTCCGATCATATATTTGTTCCGTTATTTATTTGTTGCACCCCATACACACACACACACGTATTCATTGTCGGTCTTGCTGTTGTGCGTTGTTCTTGGTCGAAAATACGCCCTCGGGTAAAATCAGGTTCACTTTGTGTAGATTTGTCCTTTTTTTCGTGTTCTCCTTCTGTCGTCTCCTCGAGACATGAAACGGATTATTCAAGTGTCGCTGCCCCTAAACCCCTTTTGTCAGGTGGATTCGACTTTACTGTAAGATGCGGTCGCGCGTGTGCGGAGTTTTTTGCACCAGAGTGCCGAACATGGTTTAAGGAAATGTGGTCCAAAAAGCAGGTTTTTTTTTTCTATTTGCTGGGAGGGAAGGTTTCAACTACTGTATATCTTGTCCCAAGAGGAAAAGAGGAATGTGACGACGACGTGTCTGTTCACGTTGGGATGGGAAAAAGTGTGTGTGGCCTTTGGGAGGCCGGAACCATCCAGATTTGCTCGTTGTTTTTTTTTTTTTTTTTTCTTTTTTTGCCCTCGGAATTATTTCTGTGCTCGTAATGCGAATTTTGGCCGAAATGCATATGCAGGTGTTTGCAGTCAAAGAATATGAGGGCCACGTTTGTTTGTTTTTTTGGTTTCGTCAGTCACTGCGAATGAATTCCCCAGAGACATTTTTTCGAGGGCAGACGTTGAGTTACGTACGTACTTCCGAAGGACGGGAGTGCGTAGGAGATAATAACTGGGGCAAAGGGTCTGGAAAGTGTTCCAGTGCGGGTTTAACAATTCCGAACCCTCCTTTTTTTGTTCGTTTTTCGTCGAGTTCCAAGCCTTTCATTCAACATTAATCATGGACTCATGGTATCATCGGAGAGAGAAAATGCAAATTTTGACATTCTTCTGTAGAAAAATGACCGCAATACTTTTTCTTGCTCTGCCCTCCCTCTCCGAAGTGCTCGTCACGTGTCTTCATCGACTGCCGTAATCTTCAATTGACACTGATGCTGCAAATATTGTAGTCACACATTCACCACTTGAATTTCGAGGCTCTCTCTCTTTGTAAGATCACATCATTTCTCACTCGAAAACAGCAGGTGTATTGATTGGTGCGATTTCATGGGAATACAGTTATGATCAACTCGACGAACATGGATATTTTTCTGCGTTGAAGTTGTTTGTAGAGGGCAAGTATAAATGTCGACACAACAAGACCTGATTTCGTTTGGTCCTTTCATTAAGTCTAGGTCTTCCCAAGACTCTTTTTGTGTAGGGCCAGCACGTGATTGTAAGAAGGACTTGCTGGAGGAGCCAGGTGTCTTGAGGATGGCAACACAAGGCATGGATAATTTTCTTGCTCTTTAAATGTAAACTTGATGACTATCGTACGATTTCATCCACGTGTTTTGCAAGAACTTTTTCGGCACGTATCGATAATAATTAATCGTTGAGGTCATGTAGTGAGCATTTTTTCTTGCCCTTCTGGGGTCAAGTGAGCTGGCTAATGACGTCGCTTATCCAGTAATATTTTATTTCCTCCAAATTTACAGCTGGAGAGCGAATTGTCGCGCTAAATTTTGAAATGTGAGGAACCATAAGTTTGCGAATATACCGGGATTTTACCGTAACTCTGTAAGCAACAAATTCTAACGGAACTTGGAAATGGTTGAGAAGCTGATTCCGGAGTCCACACGAGGTTTTTCCTCGTTAGTTTGCATTTGGATGCTGTGTATTTCCTGCATTTCAGAATTTGTTTTCAGAAAAATAAACGCACGCCCATGTGCTTACGTAAGTAATTTTTTTTATTCCTCACCTGACGACGATTTTCATTTTCGACAATTCTGGGGCTTTTCCTTCAAGTTAGCGGTTTATAACATCAGTAGGATGATGTGCACATTTTTTTCTTGCTGATTGGAAAATTGCAGGTAATTTTCCCCTTCAGTACAGGCGTAATCGCTGGCAAGTGAAAATGTGTGAATAACATACTACTATGGGAAATGTTACGTAACCAATAATATTATGTCGAGGCGTTTGATAAGGAATACTCCATCTAATCGTCTAGAAAGTATTTCCTCTTTATTCGTGCCATGTGAGGAACGTTTATGAAGTCATACGAATGTGTACATACTTTTTTTTTTTTGGGCTTTATGAGACCCTAAGCAGCAAAAAAAAAAAAGGAAGCACAAGAGACGGGTTTAAAAATAGCCGGCGGTGTTGCGTGCGTGCTAATCCGGTGGAATTCCAAATGAGCACAACAACCCGGGGCACCGAAAGTGTTCTTTGTGGAACGACGCCTGGAGGCCGAATCACAAGCGGGGCAAAAACGGGCAGAGTTAGGCAACAACAACAAAAATAAATAAATAAACAGCATGTACCGTGTCACGCCAAATAGTAATAATAATAATAACAAGAATAATAAAGTCCTTTGGATAAATTCGTTTCCTCGTCGATTCGAATCACCTCAACCGCTTCATGGACGCGAGGAGGAAAGCCTTGAGCGTTACTCGAGCGCAAACCACTGCAGCACTACTACCTCCAAGAGCCTCTGCTGATGAGTGAGGTGAAATTGGCAAACATCTTGGGAACATTTCATGTTTAGTTTAAAGTTTCAAGCATTGTTGTTCTGTGACTTGAATGTAGTAAACAGAAAACTGTTTCAACAAACTCCCAGAAACCTGGCGAAAAATTCATTACTGTATAATGTACTAAAGATTCCTGGTTCTTTCAGACGCATGTAGGACCGGCATTTCATGGGAAACGGATGAAAAATGCTTCCAAATATTTTACAGTACTGTACTTCCACAACGCATGTGTGAAGAAATGCCATTATTTACAACTTATTTTCCTGAAACAATAGTACAGTAATTCAAAGCACAAAATACATTTATTTTATTGCAGACCATCATATTCTTGAATTGCCTACAAATATACAGTACTGATCTTATTAAAGTATAAGCTGAAACAAACAGAAATTACTAGAGTAAATAAGAAGAACATTTATTCATCACGACGTGCTCTGAATTTGATTTCGAAAAATTACCACAATTTAAATCCTCTCATAACATTACATAAATTTTTTATCAGGGGTTCATGCTTCCTTCAATGATAACTTCTCCGTGCCAAAAGATTAGCATTCACATGTTTTGAAGGTGTTTCAATCATGGACAAGTTGCGGCTTCTCATATTTTGCCAATTCTTAAAAGTGCATGTTGCCCAAGTACAAGAAATAAAGAATAAATAGTGCTGAGATTGTACAAGAAAATTTGTTTAATTAGTAACAGAATTGTCATGACATTGTCAAAATGGAGAATAACTGCTGGAACCAAGAAACAAGTTGATGTAAAGGACTTTCACTGTACCGTAACTTGAAAAGGGGCATGAAGATGGGAACACCAACAAAAAATGCATGCATGTTTGAAATATGCGTCTTGTTTGGCAAGCCTGAGAGTGGAACCTTCAAATCAGCCATTTCCAACATCAAGGCAGTCTCGTCCACACTAGTGAACTTCGCAACATGGTCTTAAACTTCATCGTGAATGTTGGTTGGCTTGCCAATAAATTGTAGGTTCATTACCGCACATGTATGATTTTTTTTCTCTCTCTCTCTCTCTCTTGAGACCCAGAGAAAAACAGCTTACCAAGGGCTCAGATTTCTCCACACAATTGGCGGGGTGATTAAAAAGTTCCTTCATGGGTTTCTAGAAGTAATGTACATTGCATCATCGGGTCCTCGCGGGGGGAATCGCTGGGTTATTATTATTTTATTTTCCTTCTGCCACCCCGGCAGAAAAAAACAGGTTGTCGTGTCCAGGACTGAGAAAAACAATGCTGGGTTGCTCAAGATCTGCTCTGAGCGGAATTTGAAGCGCAAATTCTTGTCTGTGCTGCTCGGGTCGACGTCAGGCTGTCGGATTCAACTCCAGTATAAGAGAAGAGGAAAAAAACATTCACAAATTTCAAAAGCGCCTTTTGCAACCATTTCTGATCATTTTTAAACACACAGATGCAGTATTTTATTTCAAAAGCTAAAACCCTGGTCAATTGCTGGTCAATTTTTGTTCCACATTTCATCAACATCATGGTTAATTTAGTGGTTGAAAGAAAAAGAAAATGCCAGTCAAAAACAGGGGGGGGGGGAATGTTTGTTATAACCACATTATATAATCCACTACAGCTCAAATCAGTTGAGGCCAATTAAAGGTCATATTAATACAGTTGAACCTGGATAACTCAAACCACAAAGAATTGCATATTTCCAAGTCCTGGTAGAAAAACTTTGAAATTTAAATCACTGCCACATGCATTGAATGACACATATAGCCTTTTAAGATTTTTTTGCGTGGAGCAACATTTACAACCTTTAAATTCAACTATCAGTAGATGTGCCATCAACCCCTGAAGAACAGACTTAATTTGTGCAACAGACCAGTCTGTTGTGTGAAAAGTCTGTTATGCATATTCAATTATTAAAAAATTGAAACTTTTACATTTTAGCTTTCATTTTAAACCAAGAGAAGTCTGTTGTGCGAGAGGAAAACTGTCTCCAGAGGTGGTCTATTAAACAAAAAGCTGTTGTGCAGGAGGTGTGTTGTGCAATGGTTGACTGTATTTTGAATAGTGGTGGCTGTCAACTTGAAAATTATAGTACTGCTTGCCAGTTCTGGCAATACTGTATATGTTCTGCAACACTATCCATTGTTGTTTTGAAGCTCAATAAAAAACATTCGGTTTAATTTCAAAGTGCTGTTGAACATTGATGACTGAAACCTACACAAGTCAAACTTCTTTGAGTCTGCGTCTCAATCTGCTTGGAAACAATGCACAAAAAACCTCCCTAACTGAAAGGCCTCTCAAACATCCATAAATCAAGATTTTTCAAAACCTTTTGAATTTCATTTTCTTGACACAGGAACAAGAAATATGTTTTGAAAGGATTGAAGTGAAAGACCAACTGGGCAAATGATGAACTCCTCCAACGTCAGCATCCTGCCAACTCATTTGAGGAACATTTTAAAGTCCAGAATATCATAATTTACAATTTCCTGCTATTTTTCTATGTTTCCAACAACACAAAAGCTTGTTTCCCCAAGTCAAAAATTCTTGCTGATTCCTTGAGGAGGTTTGACTGCAGTTGGTTATGCCATTTCAAATCCATGCAACATGGTTTAATGACGGCAATTTCTTGCTCAATGAAGAAGTGAAACATTTGTTTCCCCATCAGGCTGATTTTATAAGATTAAGGAATTTCAGGGCAATTTATATGTGCATGCTTCATGAGAAATACTTCTCTTAAAAATAAGTTGAGGGAATAAAAATTCCTTGACCCAGCTTTTGTGGCAGTCTCACGATGAGAAGTGAGCGTTTGCCAAGTGCTGTGGAGACAAGGACGGTCGGGGAGGGAAGGGAAAGAAAAAGGTGATTATCATTTTTTTGCACGAGGTAAATGGGCAATAGGCGAAGGAATGCGGAAGCCAGAACCTGTTCCGCACCTGCAACATCGTTCACGGAAGGTTACGAAGTACTCCGACCGAATTATCGCTTTGACAGCATTGTACAGGGTAGTGTTTCCAACGCCTTTATGACATTCATTTTCTTTTTCTTTTTTTTTGTGCGAAACAATAATAAGAGAAAATTGAGTCGACTGCGCAAGTCATTGCATAGGCGGCTGTTATTATTCTTGGGTGTCTTATCGCAGAATTTAAAGGCGAAAGAAAGACCGAAGCAAGCAAATGAATCGCTGTCCATTTTCGCACTGTTATTTCACGAAAAAGTGTCTCACCGTCGTTTCGGATTTTGCTTCATCTTTTTATTTAATATCTCTGCCAATAAATCCCAGATCATCTCTAGCCGCGGAATTCACGCGTCAAGGAAGGCCCCGGAATTTTTCGTAAATTTTATTTTATTTTTTGCAGAG